ATCTATCACAATTTAATTTGCCAGTCCTTTGATTGAGTCTCAATAATGGTATATATGTATATATTAAAAAGTACTTACCAGAACGTTTAATAAGTTGTACTTGTATATTTCGTGCCGACTGTACTTGCAATTATTTTGCTCTAAAAAGTACTGGAAATGTTAAAGATAGTGTAATTGGTCGCAATTTTTGAAATTTTCTCATTTGAAATTGTAATTTATTAGTAAGTATCGCGTAATTAATAGGAAGGCCTGCTTGTTATATTTGTAACAATATCTTAATATTGTAATAGTTACGTTTTAAATTAAGTATTAAAATTATCTATATATTAACAGTTATGTTCAGTTGCTACCCCAGTTGTTTTGTTCAGTAGGCAGAGGTGCACATTATGCCACTGTACAATGTAACACCCACTTTTCACTATTTATGTTATGAGTCCCATGTAATTGGGGGGTGAGCCTATTGCTATACTATACACCGGGCACAATCCCGTGGTACTACTGAGACTGAGAATTTTTTAAAAACCAGTAATACTTTGCCCGACCCGGGAATCGAACCCGAGATCCCTTGCCCGGCAGTAACAATTGCGACCACTCGACCAACGAGGCAGTCTGAAAGTCCGAAAGGCAGTCAGAAAACTATTTGTTGTACCTATATATATTTTATTATTTGCAGGGTGAGTAGAAGTATAAGGTAATAAGACGTAAGTTAGGTTAGGTTAGGTGTTATTAGTTTTACGTATGAGCAATGAGCATATACCTATACATAAATTCTATATTCTTGTCTATACATATAACATGTCACAATCAGTGTTCCGGTAGTAGATACAGAAATCAATTTGACATTTATGCCACACACAGAAACCCGAAACGTGTGAAGCATATCAACTATCAATATAGTAAATGTCTCACATAGTATGAACAAACACTTTCGATCAATTCACATACAGTAAGTTGTTCCGCTAGGGCTATGGGAAAACCGAAAAGCGTATCAACGTGACATGACGTCAGCTTCTAAAAGGATATACATATATAAGTGTAGTAGTCACATACAAATAGTCGCGGAGAACCTAACGGGTAACCGGGGCTCCGGCTCGACGTGCAGTAGAAGGAACGGGGTGGTTTTTAGTCAGTAAGAGTCTGACACTCCCTCCCGCCTCACCCAGGCGGGAGCAGTCATTCGATGATTTTCCCCCCTTAAAAAAAAAAGTCACATACAAATGACAAAAAGTGATGTGTATGTAACAAATACTCTTTACCTTCATCATGTCAGTCACAAAACGTCCACTGGTTGGTCTCTGGCCTTTTACCTACCCATATTAAAGACCTTCAGGTCAGCCAGTTAGAATTGACTTGCATTCAATAGCTTCCTGCGACCTGTGACAATACTTTCTGCGACATCAGATTGTCTGTTCGTCTTATTAAACTTCTTATCACAATTATGTAATAGTCTAATAGTAAATGTAATATTAATAGAAATATTTTTTATTGTGGGAGAGCCATGCTTTGGCACGAATGGGCCGGTTCGACCGGAGTGATACCACGGCCTCACAGAAAACCGATGTGAAGCAACGCTTGCGTTGTGTTTCGTCGTGTGAGTGAGGTTATCGGAGGCCCAATTACCCTTCCCTAGTCTCCCAAATCCCCGAATCCTCCACAATCCTCAAATTCCCAAAAGGCCGGTAACGCACTTGTAACGCCTTCGTGTTTTGGGTGTCCATGGGCGACGTCGATTGCTTACCATCAGGTGATCCGTCTGCTTGTTTACCGGCTTATTCTATAAAAAAACACATCTGCCAGAGAAATAGGGGTTTCGCCTTTCAATTACATATTTATTTATTTATTTAAGTTCTATACAATTACATATTATGTACATTGTGTGTGGTAGTCATTTTATCTGAATCCTGAATCCAATTGTAATTCATTCATTGACGTCGTCATCAAAGGTCCAAATAGTAACTACATTTTATATATTTTTGAATTAGTTTATCTATGTCAGTTATTCGTCTAGTATGACCGTGATCGGAAATCATCGGGTGTTGTCGGTAGCCGTTCGGTATTCGGTTCAGTTCGTGCGAAAACGAAAGTGTTTCGCGGCCTACTTCGCGTTTTGGGCAGTTGTGTAATGTTGCACTGGTGCATGCCTGTTTCAATCGAAAGTGGAAGTATGGTCAATGCGAGCTCCAATATCTGATTGAGAGGAAGTCTGCTATTGTCTCGCGTATTTATTATTGTTTCGTGTAACACTGACTAATATTATCTAACACCAAACTAAAGTTTTATAGGAAACTGATTTGATTGTAAGAAATTGTTTGTTTATTTCCCACTCTACTTCCTTTTAACGTTTTTTTAGTAGGTGAACTGGATGCAGTACAAAATGAATAATTATTCTTCGTTTAACCGATGCTTCATTTAATCATTTATTTAATTGAACAGACGCTTAATTACTTCTAATTTCTATATGACTGACGCAAAATTACAAAAGAGAAAAAATAAGAGAGTAGGTAATGTTCATCGTGCGCTCGATAGATGGCGACTCAGTGAACTAATGGTTATAATACACTATGAATGTAAGAATAAGAATGTTATAAAACATCACAGATTACAGACTTTAACTAATACTAGTTAAGAATCGAATATATGATTAATTATAACTCACCATTAAATGAAACATGTTTGTGCTCACGACAAACAAATAGATGAGTTACGATGGTTTCCTTAAAATTTCACATTTCATATATATTTATGGTTTAATGGTTCTTATCGTGTATAATGAACCGTTAGACAAAAGTTATATCAACTAATTAACATACAGATCACTGATGTCACCTTGAACTCTAAAAATAACTTATTATACGAATTATAGATACTATAGATGATGTAACATATTGTTAAGCATAAACATTACTAATATATTTCTATAGTAGTAGCAATAGAAATATATTAGTATTGGGCATGATGCCTATAGTAATGAACACTAATAAAGTTTATTAGTTAATTTCTTCATATAAAAGACATCAACGCGTTGGACTAATTGAGAGCTCTTTATTAACTGTTTAGTTTTCTTTCAGTGACATGATTTAGTAAGTCGTTATTATAATACGAAGGGAAATGATCAACTTTATCTAGATTTTTAGGTCTTAGTAAGTTTGTTCAATAATAAAGGCTTATTTAGTTATTAAACGACAATAAAATGCATTGCTATGACATAGCACGACTTGTTTATCATATTTATTTATTATATTTATTTATTTCGCACCATTTGCGAATGACAGTTTACATAAATTTGCAAACAAAATTTGAGGAAACTTCAATTTCATACATTTTATTGGGTGTTTACATACATAGTTGCTGCTTAATATTGTCTTCATATAAATTTTATACATAAGTTTTATCGTATTGAAAAAGTATAAAGGTGTTGAATACATATTCAAAAAATTTAAATAAAATAAACTGCCATAAATAATTACTTTAACATCCTTGTAACGGATTAAAATTGTAACACTGATACCTAATTTATTACCGTTTTACTAATACTTAGGTAAATAATTATATTATTTAATATGCATATTATTGGTATTATATTACTCAATATTGTTTCGATTAATGAAGGTTGACATCTAATTAAATGGCACTTAGCCTTAAGGCATTTCTTTGGAAGGAGAGGTTTAAATTAGTAAAAATTCCCTATATTAACATAACTCGTTATACGAACATGAGGTTAATATATTTTCTTAAATTAATTCAATACATTTTAAGGTTGTTCTCACGTGTGTTATTCTCAGTATTGGAACGGGAATTGTTGCTTTAGCTATAATATTTGTTTATTTTTTAACTTTTAATCTCAAACCTCAGTAACGTAATGTTTGATTCGAATCCTGAATACAATTTATTCAAAAGTGTGTGAACTTTTGTGATATTTGTAACATAAAATAACATCATGCACGGCACTTAATGCCACTGTGCAATGTAACACCCACTTTTCACTATTTCTGTTATGAGTCCCATGTAACAGGGGGTGAGTTTATTGCCATATACCGGGCACAATTCTAGAGGCCGTTAGTAACTGAGAAATTTTGTACTTAAAGTTATAATCATATCTGAAATTCCACTGAAGGGACTCCACTATTTTAGAAATAAAAAGGCGAAGCTAACTATCAACAACTGGATAGCAATTCCTGATCTAATACTCAAAAGTCGTGAGATCTTGATAGTGAACAATACAAACCTTCAATAGAGCAGTGATTTTCTTACACCATCGGTACAGAAAACCTTCAATTTGATACACTGCAACGTTGCTACCCACGGTGGTCAGTTGGAATGTTTCATTATCCCGCCCTATTCAGTATCCGCCTTAGTGCCAAATCCCTGACATTTTCGCTCACTTCCGTAACCCTTGGGTGAGGTTACAGTGACAGCGGGGAAGTATCATAGGCGGCAGCGGAAGCAATTATTGCCATATGCCTATGAAAGTTTACGTATGTGTTAGTGTTTCATAATATGGTCAATTTTTAGGTAAGAGGATCTGAGGATGTGTAAAGTAATGCGTTCTATGTATATGGTCAAATACATAGGACGCATTAGTAGCTAAATTGTGATATGGTCAAATATACTAAAGATAATCCAAAATCAAAGTGATGTGTTTCAAGGTCATACGTTATGACATAAATTGCTAAAAACAATCGTCAGTTTCATTGTAATGATTACGACTACTACGCAATGTTGATTCTCTAATTTCTTCAAGTCTTAATCACGTAACACTAACACTAAGTTCAATTAGCCTTCGTAGCCGGAAAACCTAAGCTGAATACTTTGTTCTAGGATTACGTCAATGCAAAACCCATTCTAAAAGGTTCTAAAGTGAGTACTTACTGATTGTTCTAAACGCTGTCACCACCACCGAGCCTGCAGCCTTCAAGTGTAACAATTGTATCGCAACTCCCCACCACTAGTGGTAGCTGCGCGGGCGCACCTCGGCTCGCTACGATCACTCTGCGCACGCGCGCTGAGCTTACGCGCGTCCCCTGTGTAATATGCGTCGGTGGTGATTAGTGCCAGTGTTGTGTACCATATCGATTTTGTACAAAGACCGTGATCTGTGCTTATCCTGCAAACATGAGGTCTTCCAGCGCTGTCGCGCTATTTACGCTAGCGATAATAACAGGTGAGATTTTTTCAGCGCTTTTCCCGCTGAGTGCGTAATTTTTTTCCTTAGTGAATTAATTGGCATGTCTCCGTAAAAATGTGCAGTCATCAAATCGAATGATGTAGGAAGTATAGAATGCCAGCGCACGAGTTTAATCACTTTTCCTTACAATACATACGTAAAACAATTTCCAAATTAAGTATATTTTTTTTGGTTAGCGCAAAACATTTCGTCAAGAAGATTGCTCTGAATATTTATTTTATAATCTGCATTATATCACTTTTTGTTTTGAAACTGCATGTATAATACAGTTTCGGACTATATTATACCACTCTCAATGCCAACCATTAAATTAATATTTAAAAAGTTAACATTTCGAAATTTATTGCCGTGTAAAATAAATATAACATCTGTATTTTTTATTTTAAATCTTCAATATAATGCCACTTTCATACAATTTAGTTTAAATAAAGAATCGTTGATATTTCTATTACTTTCGTTCTCTATAACCAGTTGCGCTTGCGTCAAGACACCGTCAACAAAGTTTTCATTGCGCGCGCATGAGAAAATTGGCGGGAGAAAAAGTCTATGGCGTCACTTAGGCAATGTGTTTGTGAACATTACTATTTGTTGTGAACGTTATTCGACGTCATAGGATATAGACAGGCACTTTATAATACAGACTATGGAGATTGTTATTTAAGAAAATGTCTACAAGAAAATATTCCGCGACTTAGTGGGAAAACGGAAAATCAAAATGACTTATCGACCTACTTTTCTAATATGTAAAAAAAAATGAATACGTACAGACTTTAAATATCTTAGTAATGTAACCAATATCAAAGTTGAAATGGTATTACAAAACTAATCCTCTCTTATTAACATTAAAATTAAATACTATTGCAACTGAAATATATAGCAATACTAAATCCGTACATATAAAAGTCATTTTTAACAACAACACTACAATTACATGCAGTTATAAACAGTTCGTTGGTATAACATTAGAATTCATTATCCACACATGTAGGTATGCGTATAATTACTATCGTATTTTTTGTGTAATCTCCGCTTTAGGCAAAAGCGTCGTAAGTGCACTTACGATCATTTACCGTGTTGGTGAAAATTCGTTTTTCTTTTTTGATTGATTTGTAAATATATTTAGACAGTCAGATTGATTGACGCAAATATTATGTAATGTAGAAAAAGTAAGACATTATGACTAGGTTATTGACTTATTATGTCTGTTCTTATATTTATTGTGAATGGTTTATTGTGCTTTGTTAGTGCTGTGGTCAACTGTGTTTGTCAAGCAATTCTAGGCTCTTTAAATCTTGGGAAAGCTAGAGTTAGAAATAAAATAATAGATTTTAAATATAAATAATTAAGACTTAAATTTAACTAAAAGCAACAGTGATCAAATACCTATATCGAAATTTGTAGATTTAACACGTGTGTAATAGCGAATATATTAACGTAATTTTACATTTACCTCTACATATGTTAAAATGTTACAAGTGTGTCCATCTATTTTTCCAATGACACGTTTCTATTGACGTTTAAATAATGCAAATATGATGGACCCGGTCCCACTAATAGCCGTACTCATAAACGTGTCTAAATCTATTCATAATGCAAACTCTTTCAAAGTCTAGACAGAAGAGGCGTCGAAATAATAACAAAACATTATACGCTATAATAAAACACAATATTTCTTAACATATAGAGAATGTATAAAAAAGTAGTAGGTACCATAAATTCTTTAAAAGGTAAATGACACAAATGAGTCAGAATGTCCCGTAAAAGTTTGTCAAAATGTCTTTGGGTCAATGTGGCAAATTATTTTATTATTCGAATAGACTTTTTTTGCCACAAGGTGTTAATAAAATGAACAATAAATTAAAATGAATCGTGTATCTTCGAGTTTTTATCTAGCGGTAAATCCGGTTTTAAAATTTATTTATATTGTGTATATTATATAGTAAAATAATAGATAATAATGTGCATTTAAAATTAATGTGCTTTAAGTCTCGCGTCTGGAGATTTAATTTATCTGTAATAATATTTGATTTAATAATTTAAATTGGTGATTTTATCCTTGTGGTGTGGCGGCTGGGTGTCTCCGTACCTACTTGGTAGCGTGTTTTAAAACTATAGATGTTAAAATATTAAGACGTATTCGTAGACATGTTATTTTGCGCCTAACTCAAGTCAAATCTATTGCGCTTTTAAAATTGTATGGTGTATATTTTTTATACGTAAAGCATTGTATCTAGCTTGTGTTGCTTCAAGTACTTTTGATAATAAAGTAGTTAATTTAGTAATTCGTTTTTTGAAACACCCAAAGTGTCTGTAAATTTATTCAAACAACTATGTCCATAGTAGATAACTTATTACAAATTCCTCGTTCCCATTAATAGACCGAAACACTGTTGCGGCGACAACCACAAACTATATACATACAAATATATCTTACTTCACAAATGTTCCGGTCATAGTGCCCTTTTGTTTCACGCGTCATGCCTTTCAGTATGTACACAGACCTTACAAAACCACAGCAGAAAATAAATTGATACGGCCACGGGCATTTTTCACCAGTTGGACAACAAAAGTAATAGTTACTTAATATGTGCATGCGTATTACACGCTCTTGTTATGCAAACTGTTTTTTGTAAAGTATGTATATGTTTTAGATGTAGTATGGATGTTCAATTTCAAGTGTTATTAAGAGTTGAGTGTAACAATATTGATATTGAATATTACGGTACCATTACATAAGCTCTAAAATAGTGCACTAAAAGGCATGCTTAAAGATATTAAAAAATCTAACGCCTGTCGATTTGCAAGCGAGTGTACCAGAGCCATGCTTCGGCACGAATAGGCCGGCTCAACTGGAGAGATTCCATGGTCTCACAGAAAACTGACGTGAAGCAACGCTTGCGTTGTGTTTCGTCAAATGGGTGAGGTAACCGGAGGCCCAATTTCCCTCCCCCTCCCTTCTCCAATCTTCCCAATCCATGAATCTCCAACAATCCTCAAACTCCTAATCCTCAAAAGGCCGGTAAAGCACACCTCTGGCGTTCCAGGAGCCCATGGGCGACGCCAATTGCGTGCAATCAGGTGATACGTCTGTTCGTTTACCAGGTTATCCCATGAAAAAAAGCATTCCCGAAATGAGCATGCTAATTTTAAGTAACATTCCGACACACATGCTACTAAGTGAAAAGTGCTGAATTAACGCATGCCTTGTGCTTGAAATTAGTATGTGTAACAGTACCTTTAGGTTTTATCTTATGAAAACGTATCATCCGTGTCAATGTCTAGTTCAATTTGGTCTTGCGGTTTTCAGCCTGACACGATTTGTAGTTAATGTTGCATTATATATTTAACTACGCATAATTCTTTGAAACAACATTGAGTCAGAATATCTGTGTAGACATAATTATGAAAGTTTACAACACGAACCTCATTGTACTAGAATTAACATAAGTAAATGTTATATTTAAAGAATATATTTTTTTATTTATTTATTAAACTTTATTGCACATATAGTTAAATCGGCGAACTTAATGCCGTAGGCCTTTTCTAACAGTCGACCATGTAATATAATAATTACAATATCTGGAGACCACAGAGTAGGAATCGATCCTTTCGAAGACAAAGCACATTTTTCTCTTTCAATAAAATGACACTTCGATATTTTTATATTACAATTTAATTTTATTTATTAATCATGTTAGTTTGTAAATGGTATTGAACTCACATCACATGGTCACATGGTCATGTACACTTTCGCGACAGTCGACAGTCACCAGTCAGTGGCGTTGTCACTTTCTTGTCAAGTGGCGTGGTCATATCATGTTATATGGTCATATGTAATAGGTACATATAACATGTATGTGTTAATATGATCGGTGATGATGATACGACGTGGTATGTCTTGAATTATGTTTATTGGGAAGTGGATTATGTTTTCTTATCAATGATTTCTTCAATACATAGTATAAAACAAAGTCGCTTTCGCTGTATGTCCGTATGTATGCTTAGATCTTTAAAACTACGCAACGGATTTTGATGCGGTTTTTTTTAATAGATAGAATGATTCTTAAGGAAGGTTTGTATGTATAATACATGCATATTGCACCCGTGCGAAGCCGGGGCGGGTCGCTAGTATAGAATATAACTTTTTCGGTTCTAATGGTACTTTTATATTGGTACTGTTCACTGAACATTTTGAAACCAATGACGATCACTAGAACATCATACGTCATACAGAATTTCGGCATCTTATTCAGTTTTGTAAATAGGGAAATGTGATTGATAATTTCGTTGTTTTTATTAGGATATTCTGTACCTATAGTGATAAAAGTTTTAGATTTCTTCTAGATTACATTGAGCTTCCTAAGTTGGCTTGTAATGACAAAAAGGCAATTTTTTTTAATAATAATGGCTTATACCTGATCCTGAACACAATGTGAGCCTCAACTTCTTACAGCACAAATAAAATATCTTATTTAAAAACACATAGAAGTCATGACCCCGCATAATTACTGTTCATCTTCACAATTCATAATTTACTGCAGTGTTTGTCTTCTATAATCTTTTGTTTTAACTATAGTACCTATTTACTGTGCGTCGCGTCGTGTCGTTAAATATAAAAGTTTATTTGAGTTTTCTTAACTATGTAGTACGTGTTTCCTTGACAGACATTTTATTATTAGTAGTTAGAAATATTAAATGAATTATTGCCTATAAACATTAGGTACGTAATTTCGAAGCTTCTACTAAATCAAAAATCCTAAAAAAAATAAATTAATAAAGAATAAGATTTTTTTCTCAAAATGTTTAAAACAATGCATTTGCATTTTGATGATTTTTTTAATGAATGCAAAAAAAAAATTGTAAATTATGTCACTCATTTTATTTACTTCGTTCAAAACTTAACAAGTGGGATCGGATTAAGACTAAGTTTTTACATAACAATATTTTTAAAAAGATATAAGAACCAGGCTTACAAA